GGACTCCAGGATCATGACCTGAGCCGAAGGCAGTCGCTTAACCAACTCAGCCACCCAGGCGCCCCCGGTACATATTTTGCTTTGTTTTGTTTTTAATCCCACATTCTCTTAAATCCTAACAACTTGTTTTCCCAAGTAAATGGCAGGGTAAGAAATCTGAATGTTCTTCTCATGAGAGTGAACAGCAGCCTTTCAAGTTGGGAGTCCTATCAATACTTTGTGATTCATCAATATTTCTGTTTGCAACTGCAGAATCACAGACGTTTAGCTCGGCTGACATGTCAATGCGCACATGCTTCCTACCTGAGTAATGATGGCAAGGCTCTGGAGGGCTTTTTAAGGAGGCTGAGATTTCTGAAATTATAGAGAAGATTGGCATTTTAATTACTTGGCTGGAGATAAATATATGCTTATGAATATATTGCCTTCAAAGTTATTATTGAACAGGTTAATCGGAATGGCTTCTCAGTATTTGAGAAAGATTGCCTAATGTCCTTTAACCACATCATTGGGCATGGTATCCTGACAGTTTCCAATCATCAATGTAATATCTCCAAACATATTTATATAGGGAATTGAAGAAAGACAGGTAATATTAGCCTCAAAGATGTATTTCCTCTGAACCAATTACACCTCTGGGTTGCAGAAGGCACTGGGCTGCCCATCACACTTCACGACATCCCCAAAGCACAATTCTCTGAGCTCCCACCAAGATGCAGTACCCATATGAAGACATTATTAATACCAAGTTATTAGCAGTCTACTTCACTGACCTAAAATGACAACAAAGTGATGAAAACAAATTAAGAGGCATATACCAGAAACAGAGGAGTGGGTGGAGAATAGGACACCAAGGGGCTTGTTTGTTGGGCTCACCTCCTGCAGGTTTAACTGGTTCTCCTCTATCTGCTCAAGTCCTAAATTACAAGTCTCCAGAGAAATCCTTTGCAACAGTTTTGCCATTTCATAAAATTAAAATTAAAGTAGAGAGCTTTAGTCTCATGGTGGTAACTGCTTTATACCTAGTAGAGTAAGCAGCATAATTAGAGCCCAATTTCAAAGACCTCTCTGGTTTCTTGTTGCTGGATAAGGAAAGGAACAAAAATCCCTTCCTTTGGGGGTGCTTAGTAAAAAGTAAGATCAGCAGAAAAGACCCTTTGAGTTCATTCAATAATAAAAATAAAAACGTATTCAGCTCCCGCTACAGGTCATGCTAGCCAAAACAGATGTGAGTAAGTTGTGGCTCCCACCCTAGAAAAAAGGAAATGTGAAATACTGGGAGCTAAAGACATGTAGACTATAGTCACAACACAGTTGGCTAAGTATTTATAATAGAGGTGTACACAGAGGCTTATGGAACCTTCATAGACAAGCAACGTGATATTCTTTTTTTGTTGTTGTTTTCTTTTTTTTGGTGGCTGGGTGACAGACCTGTAACTCCAAAGCAACGTGATATTCTTAAAGAGCATGGGCATCTGAATCTGATAATGCTGAGTTTCAATCCTGGCTCATTTAAGGAGCTGTGAGAATTTGTTCACATTCATTCAACACACACTTACTCAACACCTACTAGCTGCTTAAGAGAAAGACCAGTGTAAAAAACAGATAAAGTCTCTGGCTACTTTCCAGTGAGAGGAAAGAAATTAAATAAACAAGTAAATATATAGTGGATACAGTATTACATATATATCAAGTTAGGGGGCTAGAAAGTGTGGGAGACAGGGAGCTTATTATTTTAAGGATGGCAAGCCAAGGCCTCTGTAAGAAGGTAAAATTTGAGCACAGACCTGAAGGGAGTGATAGGTAAGTCATATGGAAAAATGAGGGAAAATTCCAGGCAGCGGTGACAGCAGGTGCAAATGCCCTGAGGCAGGACCATGGAGAGTGTGGCCAGAGTGGACTGTGCTGAGAGGAAATGGGGTTGGAGAGTTGGAGGAAGGACAGCAGAGCAACAGGGCTTTGTAGACCAATTTGGACTTTGCTTTTAGAGAGTGAGATGAGATGCCATTTGAGCAGAAGAGTGACTCGATTTGACTTTTGGTTTCACGGTGTTATTCTAGCTGCGTTCTGGAAATAGACTTTCAGAGAGCAATAGTTTGGAGGTCATCCTGTAATCCAGGGAGGAGATGAAAAGTGGTATGGGAAAGTAGGAAAGTAATCAGGTTCTTGATATATTTTGAAGCATTTACTGATGGTTTGGAAGTGCAAATGTGAGAAAACGGGAGCCAAGTATGATGGCAAGACTTTGGCCTCAGCAACTGGAAGGACGGCGTTGCCATTTCCTAAGGTGGGGGAGGCAGGAGGTGGCACATTTTGTTGGAGATGGCTTGAAGACACCCAAGTGAAGGGATGAACAAGTAGGTGGTCATATTCTGCAGGGCAGAAATGTTGAGTGAAAGAATGAACATGAGCCTGTATATCTGGATGAGGGCCCTCATCAACACTTGAGAAAGATTTGCAGCCTATCCTGTAGGTAATGGGAAGCCACTGGAAGCTTAGACGTAAGTGACAATTTATTGTTCAGAAAGGTAACTCCAGTGGGAACACGGGGAAGTGCAAAGGGAGAGAAACCAACCAGAAGGCTCACATAAAATCAAGGGCAAAACTTTTTACATCGGAAAATAAATATCAGAGGCTCTAAGGCAGAAGCCATGGGATAGAGCAACACAGACAGCTCCTAAGGATGGGGCTGGGGGTGGTACGGAGGCAAAGTTGATAGTTAAGATGGGCAAAGTTGATGACTGGGAACCAGAGAGAGTGGGATACGCAAGGCTGTGGAAGAGAAGGGGCCCAATGGCATCAAGAGGTCAAGAACATGAAAAGGAGCCCATAGGCTGTGGTAAAGTTTGAGAACAGCCTCGACAGTGGCTTTGCCAGGGAGTGTCTCACATGACCCAGCCCTACTCAGTCACTTGGGGCAAAGTCCTACGGAAGCCATACAGGAAAAGGTATCCACATATAAGATGAAGGGCTCCTTGTGAGCGGTATGTAAAAGACTGACAGAATTGCTGAACAGTCGAAATGAGCTCAGTGGCAACAGCCTCACTCACAGAGAAAACTGGAAAATCACCGTCAGAAATAGGCAATTCAAAAAAAATTGTAAACCAGACATCAATCCTGATTTATGTGGAGAAAGACAATCAACTTTCCACTTCGCTATTGAACTTTCTACTTCGTACAGTAGACAAAAATCACATACAGAATTTCAAGGACTACAAAAATCTCAGCAGGAGAGGGAACCTCTCCATTAATAAGATAAAAAAATAACATATAAGAACTTACTGTCAACTCTACTTGAACTTCTCAACCTGTTTGAAAAATTAAAGTTGTTTAGATAATGCTTTAAATTTTTCAATGACCAAAGAAGTACAATAGTAACAATACAGAGTCTATATGTCTAGATGCATGTATGTGTGTATGTAGATTTTCTTTGAAAGCAAAGTGCCATTTGACCCCTATTTCTATCAACAGAGAAATGGTTTGCAACCCTACAATTATTTTTCATAGAAAAATGAGCACCATATATGCGTATAATTCACTTACTGTGCATGCCCTAGGCTAACCAAAAAGCAGTCGTTGGTTTTGGTTTTTAATTAGCTATATGATCAAACGACATATATAAGATTTAACTGTGTTTGTGTTGTTCTGGATCAATTAAACTAAAGGGTTCCTGAACTATGCAAAGCAGATGCCTACAAATGAGTCTGTGAATGTTTCTGGACAAGCCTACAAATCAGTTTCATTAGCCCACTTGGCCCCTAAATGTTCAGGGGCTGAAATTAGCTCTCTGTAAATTGTTACTTGCCCTGCTCAAGTGCACAAGTGGCCATGGGCAAGTCTGAATAAATTCGTTCAAAGAGTATCTCCAGTATTGAAGGTCCTTAGGGAAGAGAGTACAATTACAATTATTGTTTAATTTCATGCTGCAATAACCCACTACTCTGCATGAGCACAAACTACCGAACCTCTGGGAGGAGACAGTCATGTGCACTTGAAGTCTAGAGGCAGGCTTGCACACAGAGACCTCGATGGGAGCACCAGAAAAAAAGGCCATCTCAAATGGAGCTGGCTGCAAACTTCAAGTCACATTCCACCTGCTTGGTATCAACTGGCCCTTCATACAGTAGATGGTTTTGAATTCTGCTCCCCTAGCCACATGGATCATTTAATGATGTAACCAGAAAAGTCCAGAAAACACTACAAACCAAATAGAATCATTTTGCTTTGGTTGGTTTTCAAACTTCATTTCTCTGAATAAATAAAATCCCAGGAAAATACTCAAGCCTACAACCATGTGAGTTCTCTAGCTCCTCTCTCTTTTGATCCCCGTCTTCCCTTTGCTTTGTCTCAATCCTCAAAGGGTTACTGCTTTGATAGACACTTAGGATGCTCATGAGAAACCAAAAATAAAAAAGATCAACCTCATAAACTAAAATTAAAAATTTGAAAAAAAAAAATCTAAAGAGAAAACTAACAGATCTTCAGTCTTTTTCTTTAGGCCAGATAGGTTTGTTCCTAGTCTTGAATGCAAATTTCACAATCTTATCTGTCAGAAAAGATAGGATACTCATTATTCCGTGTGTGCTTTTTGACATTGAAAAGACAAATGCTTAATCTGCTGTGCTAGTACGTGTTTCATTATATTCTTAAAAGGCACTGAGGTGGGATCTTATTGCCAGAAATGGGAAAACTTGGAGAATAAATGATTTTCCTTCTTGCTGACAAAAGGAAAATATTGTCATTGGAAACACTTCTTTTTCGCCTCTTTTTCTGACCCAATTAAACCTTTGTTACAAATCAGTTTAAAAATCAAAAACAAAAACAAATAAGGTAAAAAAAAAAAAAAAAAACAGAAGCCAAAAATGCTTAAAAACAGACATTTAGAAATACTCACAGGGAGTTCCTATTGAAGTTGGTGCTCCTGGAGTTCCACAAAGAGTTTCTGCTCAGATCCTGAGCAGAAAGGAAAGGTCATTGCATGTTCCCCCAACATTCTCCCACCCCAAGCTTCCAGTAATACATTTCCAAAACACACCCTCCCCCGCCCAACTCAATATTTCTTTTACTGGATGCACTAAACTCAAGTTAGAAAGATGCATAATGTTAGCACAATATCTGAACAATTCAATGTGTTGACTGACTTTAACAGAATGAAATTACTTGTATGGGGACATCATAGAGAAAACATAATATACAACAATGGCTTTTGCAGAAATGAGAGTGAACAGTTAATGATAAGAAAGAAGGATTGAAGGTCTAAGTTGACAAGAAATATCAATCATTACATCTCTGTGTCCTCTATCAGGACACTGTTGTTTCAGTGGATGATAATTTAGAACAACATTACTTTGAATTTATCATTCTATTTCCTATTTAGATTCAACTATTACTTCCTGAAACCTACTACATTCCGGGCATCACTCTAGGCATTTCCATTGGTCTTATTTTTGTTATCCACTACCAATAATCTCATAAGGATGGCATTAACCCCATTTTAGAGACACAGCTAATGAAGCTCAGAGGTTAATTACTATGCACAGCCCTGAAACCTGGGACATAGCAGACAGGTTCTTGCCACCACTCACCTCCAAGCAGTCAGACGGTTTAATTTCAAAACCTTCCACAGATTCCATTCATGAGGTTATTAACGTACATTCATACAGGTAATGTGGATACAGTTCCCGAGTTCATAGAAATAATGTTCAAACCAAGACCAAAATCAGATTTCTTGGGTTAGTCTAACTAGATCATGCTCCCCACATGGTAGATGGCAGTAAAACGGGCACGTAAGAAACAAAGACCGTAAAATCAGAGAACCTTGGTGTTGGAGGCTCCTTCATCCTGCAGGGCCCAAATCCCCTCCAACCCATCTGCAAAGAGGTTGGCTCGGCCTGTTTGACTAACCACACTAAGTGAGGAACTTACTACTTCCAGAAATAAACCATTCCGTCCTTAGAAAGCCCCAATTGCTAAAAATTCCTCCTCAAATTGGGCTGAATCTGCCTCCCAGTAGTTTCTATATGTTGACCCTAGCTCCACCTCTTAAAGTGTAATGCAAATACCTATTTTTCTTCCACCTGGCAACATTCATAAATTTCAAAACAGTTTCAAAAGTTCCTGAACTATTGATCTTTCAGGCTAAAAACACCCACGATAAATTAGTGGGTGGACCAATAAATTGCATGGAGAAAAACAACAAGGAAAGAATAAAGGGTGGGGGGTGGGGCTCGAGGGGAGTGAAAAAAACTGAGCATATATTCAAAGCAAGGATTTAAATGTAATACCAGTAAAAAGGAGAAGCCAATTGAGGGACATAAAGGTAAAACAGACACAGTCAAGGAGTTAGAGAGGTGTGTGCATAAATTTTTTTTTAATATCAAATAAGATGTCTTTACCTCCTGAGACTGCTTTAGATAATCACTGACTTGGATTGCATGCTGTTCCGTTTCTTTGGTTTTCATTTTCTGATATATAGAGGGTTCCAGACCTTGTTAAAAGAAAGAGAAAAAAAAATTAGAGAATACTTGAAAATGTGTTACATTCAAATCACATTCCTAAATAGGAAGATCTGAACATAGTGCATTCATCTAAATTTGAATATAGTTTCTTTTTCTCTTTTTAGCAAGTATTACCAAGATTCTTTGTCCTTTTTTTCCTCAAGTGGTTGAAAGCTATATATTCTACAGTATTTCTATTCATCAGTAGTTTCCTTCACATTTATAATAATTTATGCTCGCTAATCAAAGTCAAGCATTAAATGGTCCATAACTTGAGTCTTCCCTACAGAAGAACACCTTTAGTGATTCTTTTTGTCCATGGTTTATGTAAAACACATGAAATTTTCATTCCAAATTGTTAGGCATCCTTCCTTAACAACTGCATCAAGCATCATAGTAGGCTACTTGAAAAAATAAAACAAAACAAAAACAAAAGACAGAAAAGAATACCAGATGACAAATTCCATTTTCAGCTCTTTCTTAAAAAGGATGGCAAGGATCATTATTGTCACAATTTTTTATACTGGTACCTGCAAAGTCACTGGCATATAGTAGGTGCCCAATAATAATTTAATTATTGGATTGGATTAATTCTGAGAATAAGGCTTATTAAGAGTCCCTGGCTAGGGCACCTGGGTGGCTCAGTTGGTTAAGCGACTGCCTTCGGCTCAGGTCATGGTCCTGGAGTCCCGGGATCGAGTCCCGCATCGGGCTCCCTGC